AGATTGGTAGAAACTATTTGCAAGGCATCTATATATATATAAACCCAATGACCAACCGATACTGCGGAATGACCAGGATGACCAGAATGACTGGTGGCTATTATACGCACTGTGGCAGCCAACCAGCCGGATAAGGCAGATCACCGCCAACACCCCTTTCAGGATAGGGGGCCAGCCGGCCAACCGCCTTAGCTGGCAGAAATTCGGGGTCTGGGGACCTTGGAGGTGCTCAGTCTCAGGTAGCACTAGCAGGTGGGCTGCCAATCGGAGGGAAAGCGAGCCAGGGGCGCAAGATCCCCCGCCAGGCAGGGCCCTGAGCAGCGTGGGTGTGGCCGGAGCTGGAATCCTGGCAGAGTGGGGGGCTGCAGCCCTGCGCCCTTTTGTCCTTGGCCTTGGAATTCTGTGGATAACCAGAGTACTGGCTACCAGCATGTCAGAGGTCAGCCCCACTTCAAGAGAGAGGACATGGCGGAAAGTGGCAAGGCCACAGCAGAGATGGGAAATGCTGAGGCCATCTTCAGGAAACACAGCTGTCATGATCTTCAGTATCTACCCTGTTTCTCCGAAAATAAGAGCGTCTTATATTAATTTTTGCTCCCAAAGATGTGCTAGGTCTTATTTTCAGGGGATGTCTTATTTTTCCATGAAGAAGAATACGGTACACATTTATTGTTAAATGAAAATAAAGGAAATTTATTACCTGTATACAGTATGGTAGTACGGTAGTTGTCAACACAAACCAGACAAACTGTGAATCCTACAGTATCAAGAATTTACTCTTTTATTCAATGACAATCATGTCATCATCTTCTGGAACATCATCATAACAATCCAATTCCTGAATTTCCTGGTGAATTTCTTGTGACTCCATTTCTTTCAGAATCAGTGGACCAAATCTCTCATGTTTAGCCTAGGGGGGGCCTTATTTTCGGGGGGATGCCTTATATTTCACCCAGAAGGAAACCTGTAAGTAGGTCTTATTTTCGGAGGATGTCTTGTTTTCGGGGAAACACGGTATGAACAGATAATCTTTGGTCTCGGTTCTACAGAAGAGGAAACTGAGACTCAAAGAAGGGAGCCTTCACAGCACCTCACCTGCACATCATGTCCCACTTCTCAGACCGGACCCTGTGCAGCATTGTTTTTCTTGAAAGTAGAGGATCCAAAATGTTTTTAGATCTTTGCTATTTTAGGCAGGAAAGAATTTAGCACAGAGAATTGGTGCTTGGGAAATCATTGGAAAGCTGGAGGAGTAGGTATTAGGCTGGGCCCCCAGGAAAGACTCCCTGGCCGGCGGGAGGAGCTGCCCCCTCAGCCACAACTGAACTCTAGGACACTCTGGCACAGCTGTGACCCTGGGATCACAGGTGCCCACCAGTTCCCACAAAACAGGTCACTGGGCACTGCCTCTGCCACAACTGCCTGTGCACAGCCTGGATTCTGCTGCAGAAAACCTCCACATCTCTGCAAACAGGACCACCATCAGCAAACATGATCACCATCACCAAAGTGCGGGAAGATGCCTCTGCCCCACTTCTGCCTTCAAAATACTGTGCAAGCACATCCAATTGGCAGAAACAAATTCATATCCAGAAACCTAACTGCAAAGGAGTTGGGCAATTTCAGACTTTCATCTAGGAGTGAGATCTTGCCAATGGTATTGATAAAAATGGGGGCTAGCTGGTGGGGCTCAGTGGCTGAGCGTTGATATATGTACCAGGAAGTCATGATGTTTCCCAGTCAGGTTTGGGCTTGATCCTCAGTAGGGGCATGCAGGAGGCAGCTGGTCAATGATTTTCATCATTGATGTTTCTTTTTATCTCTTCTTCTCCCTTCCACTGAAATCAATAAAAAAATTTTTTAATGGGGTCATGCTGTGTATATGTTCTATAATGGGTTTTTCACTTCGTAGATCACTAATGTCTTTCCTGTTAAAACCATACTTAGAGAACATTATTTATTTATCATTCATTTTAATTAATCTCAGAGAGAAGGGAGAGAGAGAGAAACATTGTTCTGTTGTTTCCTGCACTCACTGGACTGGGTATTGAATCTGCAACCTGGGCATGTGCCCTGACTGGCAATTGATCCACCACTTTCTGGTGTATGGGACGATGCTCTGCTAGTATCCTGACCCCAAATTCTAGCCTTCAGAACTGTGAGAAAAATCAATTCTGTTGTTTAAGCCACACAAATTTATGGTGTTTTGTTATGGTTGTCTGAGCTAATTAATCCTATCTAATAAAAGAGTAATATGCAAATTGACCATCATTCCAACACATAAGATGGCTGCCCCATGTGAACACAAGATGGCCACCACTAGATAGCCAGCATGGGGAGGGCAGTTGGGAGAAACCAGGCCTGCAAGGGAGGGCAGTTGGGGGCAATCAAGCCAGCAGGGGAGAGCAGTTAAGTGACCAGGTGACCAGGCAGCAGAGGAGGGAAGTTGGGGGTGTCTGGGCCTGCAAGGGAGAGCAGTTGGGGGGGACCAGGCCTGCAGGGGAGGGCAGTTAGGGGCAAACAGGCTGGCTGGGAGCAGTAAGGCATCAATCAGGCTGGCAGAGTAGTGGTTAGGGGGTGATCAGGCTGGCAGGCAGAAGTGGTTAAGGGCAATCAGGAAGGCAGTCAGGCAGGTGGTTGGGAGCCAGCAGTCCTGGATTGTGAGAGGGATGTCCAACTGCCCATTTAGGCCCGATCCCACTAGGTATGGGCCTAAATGGGTAATCAGATATCCCTCAAGGGACCCCAGATTGGAGAGGGTGAAGGCTGGGCTGAGGGACCCCCTCATACCCCCATGAACGAATTTCGTGCACCTGGCCTCTAGTCCTATATAATAAAAGCCCAGTGACCAAATGGCAGAATGACCAGAACAATTATGGCCCTTCGCCCCAGCAGTCCCTGCTCCTAATCGGCCCCCATCAGGGTGGGTCAACTGGACCCCACTAGTGCGTGAATTCATGCACTGGGCCTCTAGTATATCTGCTAAAACAACCCAATTTAAAAACATGCATAAGATTTAAACACAGACATCACCAAAAATATATACAAGGCATCAAATAAACACATGAAAAGATGCTCAACAACATTATTCATTAAGGAAATAAATGCAAAGTAAAACCATAATGAGTGCCTCCACACTAGCATTGGGACGGACATCGGGACTGACTGGGTGTGAGCCCACAGCCACTTCTGTTGCTATATGAGGAGCAAGGCTGCGATGACGAGCAGCGGCCACATGGTCATGGGCCAGTATCGCTCTAAGACGGGTGCTTGGAGACCACAGTGGAGCAACAGTGAGCCTACTGAGCGGTGGCAATGGCAGCCTGGGCTGAGGCTCCCCACCCACACACACACCCTCTAGTTTTTATATAAAATGTTAGTTTGGGAGGCACAGGAGCTATGGGACAAGTACTGGGAATCTATAAGGCTGACTGGTACCATAGCTGAGGAACTTTCTCTTAGTAACCCCTAAACACCATTCCAAGTCACTTACATCAATGTCCTGACACTGGGCTTGGACTGTACCTTTCCTACCAGAAGTACCGGATGCTGGGCCCCCTGAAGCCTGCAGGCTGAGTGGCCCTGTGCACCATGCAGACTGAGCTGTCCTGTCCCTGAACCGGATACCAGACAGGACAGGACTGACTTCCAGCTGACCAACTGGGAGGACAGAAAGGATGTGCCCCCGAGGCTGGCCTGGCAGGGTGCTGGGCCTAATCCTAGCCCCTTCCTCATTCTTGGGCATCTGGCTGGGTGGCCATTTATAAGCCCACTACTGGGCTTCAGTTTTCTCATCTGAAACTCAACCATGAAGATGGACAGTCTTTTCCTGCTCTTTGCACTGGAGGCCAGTGACCAGTGATGGAGATGTTCCATCCTCAGCACTGGGCCCCGGCCAGCCATCCAGTTCCAAGCCCCAGCCCCTTAACACTTCTGTGGGCTGGGCTCTGGACCCATTCTCTCAGAGCAGGACCTCTAGGGGAAGTACAATATCTTCTTTTATCATTGTATTAGTGGCCTGGTGTATGAAATTCGTGCATGGGGCGGGAGGGGGGGGGGAGTCCTCAGCCTGGCCTGTACCGTCTCCAATCTGGGACCCTCGAAGGATGTCCTACTGCAGGTTTACAGGGACCAGGCCTAAATTGGCAGTTGGACATCTCTCTCACAATCTGGGACTGTTGGCTCCAGCCGCTCACCTACCTGCCTGCCTGCCTGATTGCCCCTTAACCACTCTACCTACTGGCCTGCTCACCCCCAAATGCTCCCCTGCCAGCCAGATCACCCCCAACTGCCCCCCCACCCCCCGCCCACTGGCCTGTTCTCCCCGACCTCCCCTCCCCACTGACTTGCTTATCCCCAACTGCCCCCCTGTTGGCCTGCTCACTCCAAACTGCCCCCCCGATCACCTCCAATTGACCCCCACTGATGGTCTGCTCACCCCCAACTGGCCCCCCTGCTGGTCTGCTTACCCCCAATGGCCCCTGCCGTCCCATTCTGGCATGATCACCTCCTGATGACCCAAAGTCCTAGCCCCTCCTTTTCTTTTTCTTTTTTCTTTTTCTTTTTCTTTTTTCAGTGCCTCTTTGAGCAGAGATCAGGGCTACGGCTACAAAAACTAACCCTGAATCCTATCATATTATTAAAAAGGTTTTGGATGCTGAAAAAATAAATAAATAAAAAATAAACTAGAGGCCCAGTGCACAAAATTCATGCACTGGGCCAGGGAGATGTGTCCCTCAGCCAAGCCTGCACCCTCTCCAATCTGGGGCCCCTTGAGGGATGTCCTACTTCCTGTTTAGGCCCGTGTAGGTGGGATCAGGCTTAAACGAGCAGAATTTATTTATCTTCTACAATTGAAAAAAAAAAATACACAGGGTTTATGTATCTTATATAATTGAAACTTTGTAGCCTTGAGTGGATGCCAGGGCAGGTGGAAAGCTTGGCTTCCTCCATTGCCTCCTGCTTGCTCCAGCTCTGTGGCTGGCTGCCATCTTGGTTAGGTTAATTTGCATACTCACTCCTGATTGGCTGATGGGCGTAGTTTGTGGGTATAGTGGAGTGAGGGTTAATTTGCATGTTTCTCTTTTATTAGTGTACCTTAGAGGCCTGGTGCACAAAATTCGTGCATGGAGAAGGGATGTCCCTCAGCCCAGTCCTTTTCACTAGAGGCCAGTGACCGGTGATGGAGAAGTTCAATCTGGGGCCCCTTTAAGGATGTCTGGGACCCCTTGAGGGATCCCTTGAGGGATGTCCAATTGCCCGTTGAGGAATGTCCTTGGTTTCTTCCATTGTCAGAGAAAACCAAGCATCCCTCCTGCTCTCTATGGCAGCATCCATCTTTGTTGAGTTTATTTGCATATTTGCTCCTGATTGGCTGGTGGGCATGGCTTGTGGGCATGGTTTATGGGTGTAGCGAAGGTGTGGCCAATTTGCATATTACTCTTTTATTAGATAGGATTGTGCACACTGGGTCCTGCAGTACCTAGAACATGCATTTATATTTTCTAGTAAATTTATATTTAACATATAAGAAACTTATGCTTTTCATTATTTCTATTACTGTTGAATAATCAAAAATTATTAGACTATAATATCAAATATTTTAATATTATAAAATTGAATATTAAAATATTTATTACATATTTAACAAACTAATATTTATCATTAGTATTTATTTAATATTATTAATAGCAACATACAATCAATTGTCTAATTTATAAATCAATAATTATTATATAAACTAGAGGCCCATATGGGGCGACCAGCTTTTCCAGACCTGGTGGAGCTTTTCCGGACCTGGTGGAGCAGAAGAGGTTGTTCAACCAGGTGGTGCTGAAGAAGTTGTTCATGAGTTGCACCAACCAGCCACCACTGTCCCTTTCCCAGATGATCCGCAAGATGAAGCTTCCTGGCTGGGAGGGCAAGGCTGGATGCTGAAAAAGTAAATAAATAAACAAACAAACAAACAAACAAACAAACAAACAAATAAATAAATAAACTAGAGGCTCAGTGTGCAAAACTCATGCCTGAGGCCAGGGGTGTGTGTCCCTCAGCTCAGCCTGCACCCTCTCCAATCTGGGGCCCTTTGAGGGATGTCCTACTTCCTGTTTAGGCCCGTTTAGGTGGGATCAGGCCTAAACGAGCCGTTGGACTTCCCTCTCACAATCCAGGACTGCTGGCTCCCAACTGCTTGCCTGCCTGCCTTCCTGATTGCCCCTAACTGCTTCTGCCTGCCAGCCTGACCACCCCCTAACCACTCCCCTGCCAGCCTGATTGATGTCTAACTGTTCCCCTGCCAGCCTGTTTGCCCCCAACTTCCCTCCTCTGCTGGTTTGCCCTGAAGAGTGTCCCGGATCAGCGTGGCGGTTCCCTTGGGGCGTGGGGTGACCTGAGCGAGGGGCCTGTGGTGGTTTGCAGGTGAGCCATGCCCCCCAGTGACCCAAGAGGAGGCCCTGGTATCTGGAATTTACTTACCTTCTACAATTGAAACTTTGTAGCTTGGAGCGGAGCCAAGCCTTCTGCTTGCTCCTTGGCTGCCACCATTTCTGTTTGGATTTGTTTACCTTCTAAAAATGAAACTTTGTAGCCTTGAGTGGAGGCCAAACTTCCTAGGGCAGGCAGAAAGCTTGGCTTCCTCCATTGCCTGGGAAACCCAAGCCTCCCTCCTGCTCTCTGTGGCTGTAGCCATCTTGGTTGGGTTTATTTGCATAGTTTCTCTGATTGGATGGTGGGCGTGGCTTGTGGGTGTAGCAAAGCGGTGGTTAATTTGCATATTACTCTTTTATTAGGTAGGATTAATTTCACTTTAATTGATATTTATTATTAATAAAGCAATATCAAATATTAATATTAAATAGTTTATTAAAAATAAAAATAGGAAAAATACTTTTCCCTTTTTTCATAGAAATTAAGTAGTAATAATTTTGTACTCTGATTGTAATCTGAAATAATGTTACTTATTTTGTACTCTAATTGTAAGTAACATGAAATAGTGTAGTGTATTCTCTAACCATTTGAATTAAAAACAATACCAGATGTTCCTGTTGTCAGTATATAAGAAATTCATTAATATATTTAGCATACTCAATGTAATAAAATTCTACAAAGAAAACTGTACTTATTTAAAGAGATGTTAGAAGTGAAAAGCACACCTTACATATATTTCCTGCCAATACTACAATTACATAATTCCTATCTCAAAAAAACAAATATCATCTGTATTAAATCTAGATGTACCATTTTTTACAGATCCTTTCATCTTTAAAGGTGGCTGTCGCAAATAAACTTAATGGGTAATCTCTAACTCATTCTAGAAAAACCCGTTCAGTTCTTTTCAAATGAAATTGCAATCTAAAACTAAGTATCCCCTTAGAAATAGAAAAGTGAAGATAAAAAAAAGGAAACGACCCAAAATGTGACTCATTCTTTTGATATGAGGTTTTAAAGAAACATGCAAAGGAGAGCAGAATATAGATTTTCATTTTGTGGTAAGTAAAAAAAAAAAAAAAAATTACCTTAGTTGTAAAGTGTATACCACACTGCATGAAATATTGCAATTTCTTGAGAGAGTAATCTGAAAACTTATTTGGCTCATTGTTAGCAAAGTTCACACCAATTTTCTTTTTTATTTTTATTTTAAATTTCTAATCTTTCCCCAAACTCTTCCTAGAACTATAATGGTAGAATGAGAAAAACATTGAAAAGTGTTTTCCCTGCATTGTAATAAAATCCCCAATTATCACAGTTTATTATTCTAGCAAGACATATTACTGCAATTGAACTTTTAGTCCTTTTTTTCTTTCATATACCATATTCCAAAATCAATTACAATACTCTGAAATATAAATTATGGTGAATAAGTATTTGGAATTGATTTTTCTTGTAAAATGTTTTACAAGTTATAGCACCCTTAAGCGGTTGGGGCAGTTTTTCATCTATTTGACATTTAGAAGAAATTAAAATACTTTGTTATTATGACATTTTTGTCATGATGTTCCACTTTGTAAAGTGGGAATAGAGTTTTTTGCTGCCATAACCAAAAGTGTCAGGATGAATATTTAAAAAATATTCTCAGAGAAAAAATGGCAGCAGAATAGGCAAGCCTGTTGTGCACCTCGTCCCAGAGCCAGACTGGAAATACAACTATCGGTAACTTGGAGAACATTCACCTGGAATTGCCAGCTGAGGTCCAGCTGAGGCGGAGACTTATATCAAGGAAGGACAGTAGGAAGGGCAAGGTCCTGAGAGGAGCTGATCCACCTACCAGGAGTGGCAGGCTGAGAGAGGAGCGAGCGCTGGGCTACGGGAGGTTCTTTTCCCTCAGAAGACAGAGGCCTGGAACCCAGACTGGGCTCCAAAGCCCCGAGCTCCAGAGCTGACACCCAGGACTCATATAACACCCAGCCGTGAAAGGTGGCAGGGCTGCTAGCTGCAGTGGAGCTTGGAAACTATGGACCAGAGTCATTCGGAGAGAAAGTCACGTTTTTTTTCCCCCTCAGAGCCCAGGAGTTTTCATTCGCAGCTGCTCACCAGAGGCTTTGGTGCAGGAAGGGAGACAAGGACTGGGGTTAGAGGCATTGCAGGGAGACTTGGGAAAACAGCAGCCAAGAGCATTTAGTCAGAGGCCCCCAAACTGAAACACTGTTTTTCCTGAGAGGAACTAGCTGCTCCCAGAAGACACAGGACAGGAAAAACAAACAAACCAACAAAAAACAGCAACAGAAACCCGCCCTAGTCCTAGGTGATACCAGAGCCCGGCCTGCCACACCCTACATTTTGAGCTTTTCACTGGAAACAAAAGCAGAAGCCAAGCTTACAGGTTTGAACAGCCTCAAGGAGCCTCAGTGACTGGATATGGGGAGGGACCGGCTGCCCCACTCTCCTAGGAACCAGAATGATACTTTCCTTGCCTGGGATACAAATTCCAGGTTTCTAGCCGACCCCATTGGTCTCCAGGCAAGGATCTCTGTCCAGCCAAGGGCAGAGTAATGCTTTGGGCCACTTGCAGAGGAGTAGCTCTGCGACAGGGGAAACACACCCACCACATTCCCTGAAATCTAACCTCCCCCACCTTGAGAAACAGACTTTTGAGGGAGTAAGACTGACAGCTGGATGGCAGGAAAAGGAGGGCAGAGGTGGACCCGGGCAACCAGGGGAAGTTTGCCGATCCAGCCTTGGACCCCCTGCTGCAAACAGCCCTTCTTTAGAGGGCAGATGGGCCCTGCTTGTTTATAGCCAAGGCGTGTAGAGACAGACACAAACAGTGGATCTGTGTATTGCTTGGAGCTTCAAGCAGGTAGCTGAAAGCCAAAAGACAGTGCCTGACAGTGGTTAGCAGCTAAGTACCTAACAAGAAGCCCAGAATGGGCAGACAGAACAGAAGAGTGGGATCCAAAGCAAGCTCCCATGGGGCACTATATTCGGCTGAAAAGAATACCACTTCACTTTTTTTAACTTAAAGTTTTTTTTTGTTTTGTTTTGTTTTTAAATTAATCTTTTTTCCATTTTTCTTTTTTTCTGTTGTGGGGTCGAACCCTGGGTTCAAAATAAGACCACCGGAGGCTGAAGATTGATTTAAAAAGCAGGCAAGGGTTTATTGAACTGGCCAGGACGGCCATGGGAGCACCACACACAGGTGGGCCCCACACGACTGCACTGATCCAGGTGTAGGCAATCCCTTTTTTAAGCTTCAAACCACAGGAATTTCTCTTTGTTCTAAATTCTAAAGGCTGGGAACATTGGAATGTGGCCCTATCTTGCCCATAATACGGAAGCAGAACTCAAAGGTTAATCTCTAAAGGTTATCTATGGTTTCTACCCCTGAAGCTACAGTGGGAGTCAATCTCCTGTAACTACCCTATTGTTTAAGAAAGTAACTGAAGGTCAAAGTCAGATAGCAAGGTTAAAATTCAAACAGCAGTTTTTACCCAAATATGATTGCTACCATATTTCATTTTCCTCCCTTTTTTCTTCTCTTTTTCTTTCCTTTTTTTTTTTTTTAAAATTATCTTTATCTATC